CCCCCCCCCCCCCCCCCATCTCTCTGATCTGCTACAACCGTATGTCCCTCCCACCACGTTCCCTGAGGTCAGCGGACCAGTTGCTCCTCACAGTTCCAGGAACTCGTCTTAAGCGAAGAGGTGACAGGACCTTCTCTGTAGCAGGACCAAGACTTTGGAACGAGTTACCTCTGCTTGTCAGACAGGCCCCCTCCCTCTCAGTTTTCAAATCCTGTTTAAAAACTCACTACTATTCAGTAGCTTTCAACACCAGAGGATCTGTGTTTTGAACCTGTACGCTCCACACTGGTTTTTCGTCATTATCTGCCTCGTTTTTATGTCTATATTTTAGATTTACTTCACTTTGTATATTGCTTTGTGTGTTGTCTGTTGTTCTGTCTGTACAGCACTTTGGTTGGCCTTGTAGCTGTTTTAAGTGCTCTATAAATAAAATGGTATGGTATGTGGGTCCAATCCTGCACCAACTGTGACAGAACAAGCTGCTCACAAACAGGTTCAGGGAAACATATCACTCTTTTTGAGTTCCTGGCCCAGAGGGAATTGAAGAGAGAGAAAGGAGGTGTGGTGTCTGCAGTCTGTCATCCATTGGGGTGGGGGTCAGACAAGAAGGTCCAGACTGGCCTGGAGACAGAGACTCTGCAGCCTGGAGGTGGAGATCCTCCCATCGCCTCTTTTTGTGGAGGAAGAAGAAAGTAGGAGAATCCATCCATCCATTATCTTTACACGCTTCTTCCTTTTTGGATCACGGGGGTCTCTGGTGCCCATGTCCAACTATCACTGTGCGAGAGGTGGGGGACACCCTGGACAGGTCTCCAGTCCATCACAGGGACACATAGAGACAAACAACCATTCACTCTCTCTCTCACCTAGGTACAATTTAGAGTTACCAATCAGTCTAACATGCATGTTTTTGGTCTGTGGGAGGAAACCGGAGTATCCGGAGAAAACCCATGCATGCACGGAGAGAACATGTAAACTCCACCCAGAAAGACCCCTAGTCGGGATTTGAACCGGCGACCTTCTCACTGAGCGGCAGCAACTCTACCAACTGAGCCACTGTGCCACATTTAATTTATAAATAGGTGATATATATTTTCATTAAAAAAAACATTAGGACTCTTTCTAAGACAAGACATGGGATCTTGACTAACATGGTCTAACCTCTGCCTTGCCTTTACTGCCCTACTCCACATGGTTTCAGTCCTGGTAGCCTGGGTACAAAAAGGTTTTAGGTTTATATTAAGACCTACAATAAGCAGAAAATAATGAGCAGAGAACTTGTAGGTAGTTAAATTTCAGTCCTAGTATTTGTTATCCCC